GCAGGGGATCATAGGCGATCGCAGGGGATCATAGGCGATCGCAGGGGGTTGCACTGCTATAGTTACCCCTTTGTGCATAGTTGCACAAAGGAGTATATACCTGGTATATTTTCCCGTACCTCAGTATGTTGGGTAAATATACACTATATTGTAAAATCTGGTCATAGTTTGTATTTTCCATTAGCCACCATCGCAAAACAATTTTGTACATATGTTGTGTTTTTCTATGAATATTTGGTGCTTCATAATGGGTAAACACTTGAAAAACATTAAAGTTGGGAAATTAGAATTGGTTATGTGAGCAGTTTAAACTGTGAGTGGAAAATGCATTTGAGTAAATAATTAATCACAGCCTGGGTGGCAATATAATGATTCTCACAAAGTCAAAGGCTTTGTATCAGCAGTTCAGCCCTTTGACAGTGATGATTATACCTGCCCTCAAGAGGCTTGATAAGTGAAACACAGGAGGAAGCTGGATGGGCAGGTCAGGATACCACGTTAGCCGCTCAAAAAGCTGGATAATTTACTGTGAAAATCAATGCCTTGTTATGGGCATTAGATCAAGTATTTGCTGTCACCACATGTACTGTACAGCACCTATGGTTATCTTCTTTATTTATAGTCATCTTCTTTATCTCTCTTTATTTTAAACTGGCCTTTGCATGTGTACAAGAGGGAGCCTGTCGTGGCTTGACTTCAGGAATGTGAACAGCACCGTGCTGATGGCTTACAGTGACTCATTTTCCATTCTCATGTCAGTTTGGATATTTTAAACTTTGATTCAAGCAGGATCGAGACAGACATGCAGCTGAAAAGTTTCCATCCCTGGACAGTAGGAACAAAGTAACGGGAGTTATGCTGGCTCCTGACCGGATCAGGGAACACATGTAGGAATGGTAAGCGTCGTTTGAACAAGCAGCCTTGTGAAGCTAATGCAGGACACCTGCTGGTGAAATTAGGAAGTGCAGGCAGGGCAAACCTAAACGCAACATTGATGACGAATGACAAACAGGAGCGTAGCTAGAAACTCTGGGCCATCTCAGGCTTCTGATAAGCGCTGGGTCCCCCTGAATCTGCCAGGGTGTCCATGACCCTCCAATGCCTCTGAGCACAAAGGACTGAAAACGACAACATTGCTCAGCTCAGAATAGTTCATATTGTGGATGAGGAACTTAAATTTCCTGAGACAGCATTAGTTTCATTCACACACGAAGGTAAAATCACGTTATTTTAAGTCAACTGATTCCTTTTGGTGTCTTCACCTTTTTTCATAAATGTTACTCATTTAAATATTGCAGTGATTTTTTTTTTTAACCACGTAAGCTTTTAAAGCAGAAGGGAACAACCGGTCACCGTAAAACCGCTGGACGATAAGCTTGCATTAGAATGTTAAAAGATTAATTATTGCACTTTGTGACCACGGGGTGTCACTCAAATCAAATTTATCAAACATCTCCTGACAGAAGAAGGACGTGTAATACCTTACTCATAGTGGACTTTAAATGAAGGCTTCAAGTCTGTATCTATACATGTATTATATGCAGTGAGCTGTTTACAATATAAATTTAGGCATTTATGCGTCATAACTTAACTCAGAAGATACGTTTGCAGCCTGACTTACAGATGAATCCACTGGAAAACGGTTATAACAGGACAAATTAAAAACAGTCTAAAGCAAATTAAATGCATGTCATTTCATCAAACAAAATAACAGTGACTATAAGCAGCAATGTAACATCAAATGCTTCCAACAATTTTACATGCCACCCATGTTGTTTATATATGGTAGCATCATAATAATTCCAGAAGGTTCTACAAATAGTCAGCAACTTGTGCAAGTATTAATTTTAAAGCTTCACTCAATCTTAGATAGTTGCCAACATCTAAAAACAAAGAAAAATGTTCAATGTTGCTAAAAATCAGACAAAAGTGTTTGCCAAATTAAATATAAATTTCTGAAAAGGATCGGAATACAAGCCATGTGACCCTGTCATACTGTCTTTGAGATGGTCTGGTATGTTGCTGTAACTTGCTCATGATAAGTGAGCTGAACAAGTAAGAGCTGCTTATGAAATTAGATGCAGACCAGCTGAGGTTCTGTCATGGATCATTCTAAACTTACTGCATCTGAAAAATAGGATTCAGTTCAATGAATTGCTTGCGAAATACAACTTCACAATAACATTGATCACTCAACACCACGATGCTGCATTATCTCTGTGAGCAAAGGCACAGACCTGTGAGCCAATCAAAACCACACCAAAACAGCATAGCATGAGGACACCACAGTCAAAGGGATGCTGGGGTTGCAGCCTCATTTGACCAATGTGTCATCAAAGTGTAGATGAAGGTTCAGTCAAGTTAGCAGGTTACATGCTGGTTGTGGATCCCAAAGGCCTGAGTGGTTCCTTGCCTTTTACCCTTGAGAAAGGTACTGAACCTGAATCATCACAGCGAGCTGTTACCCACCCTGACAAATGAAATAATGACAGAAAATGCAAATGGGTTTACTAGTGGAAAACCGATGCCTTAGATTTGGTCTGGAAGCAAAAGAATTAAAATATGCATGTTAAATACTACATTAAGATATTATGAAATCAGTGTTAATGTTTATATTGCGAATAAATTATATTCTCCACTTTATTGTCTAAAGCTTTTGCGTGTTGTTGGGACAAAAAAGGAAATTTTAAATATTCAAATTTTAAATTGACTTTACTTCAATAACCTGCATCTTGTCCAAGCTTTCACCAGTTTTACAAGCAGTTACTCTCAGCTTGACAGTTTCATTAATAAAACTTATAAAACTGAAAAATATGTATATATTCAAATAAATGCCTCAGCCTTAGGATTAGTTATATTGGACTCTAATAATTCCCACTGGCGTGTCTTTTTTGGACACATATTACTTGGTCATGAACACTAACATTCTCTGCCATTATCAGCCACAGAGTAATAAGGTCCAGTTCTCAGTGCTTGAGTTAAACATAGAATAGATTGCAAATGGCCAGTAAAATATTTGCGAAATTAGTAATTTAACCAGATTTAAATATAACAAAAAGGGACAGAACAACATGTGTATAATTTAGGTTAAAAGCAATTCTTTGTTTTATTGTCAACAAAGAACATTACATATAATTTCTGATCTTAAAATTGTTTAATGTCTGTTGATGCATTTTACCTAGTAACAGTACTTCTAATTTTTTATTATAATATATTTAAAATAACATGAACCACTCTAAGCCTGTAGCTGGACAAAAACAGAGAATACAAAATGAAAGCTGTTATTTGTGCTATGGGGTAGAGGAGGACCCTCAAAGAGAAGCACTTCAGCTGCTTTCTGGGGACCAAGGGTCACGTGAGAAAAATCCATAATCCGCAAATCAGCGCATTGAAGAAGTTAGTGTTAATGATTTGAGTACGAACATATCAATGTGTATGGTGACCATGTTATTTGCTAGTTATTTCCTTGCATCACCATTATGACTAAGTGTTACACTTTTAAAACCAATGAGATCTTTAATTATTAAAAACAATCATATGGCAATAGCTTAAATTTGTGTCACTTGTATTTGATGCTAAACATCCTTTGCATTCTGGGCCATTCATATATACAATAAATAGATGTAATTGAGAATGATAATTTAACTGATGGCAATCTGTTCTTTATTGTTTTTTTTTATCTTTCATTTTCTTCACCATCACAAGCATTTTCCTGTGAACAGGATGGAATTCCCGCGTCGACACGAGTCTCGTGAGTCAAAGTCGGATCTGCTGCTGCACTTGGCCGTCCTCCTTTCCTTGCGCGTGTCTTTTGGGAGCCTCTGGTGCGTCTGTCACCATTTCATCCTTGCATAGATTCCTCCGTTTCCCCCTCGTCTTTCTCTCACACTTCTTTTCTGCCTCCCGTCGCTCTATAGAGAAGAGAACAATTGAATCGCAACAGTCTGGATTTTGGAATGTGATTTCATATTTACTCTCGTTTTTAATAACAACCTGGTTTTCCAGATTAAATCGTAACTAAATAAAGAGGCGTTTGTCTTCATCTCTAGTCTCAAAGAAAGAATTCCAAGACCTAAACAATGTGAGATGTTTAAATGAATTCAATGCTACAGATGAATGGTTTCTGTTAGGGACTTATTAACTGTGGTGTGGGTGAAGGACAACCTGAAGCTCAAATACTGTTTTTATGAACTCCATGTGCAACATCAGCTATATACACTGTACAACTGAGACTGTAATGCTGAAATATGTAAGTTCATATTTCGCTTCCCATAATCCTGTCTGGCCTACAACCGTCACTTGTGTTTAATGAAATTAAAAGGAAAGCAAACCAGACCAAAGAAAGGAAGTGATTCTATACTGAAAGAGATTTCAGTGTGTTTTCAGGGATTTTATTTTATTTTGTTGTATTTTGTTTAAAGATACACATGCTAAATGTTTGTTTCTTGTAAGTAGGCTTTATGAGGCCACATCACTAAAATGTGTCTCTGCAGTAGGGGGCTGGGTACTGATGGCGGATACCCCAGCACTGCCTGTTCCGTGGCATTCCAGCAATGTGTTCCCCATACTGCCCCCTAGTGGTGGTGAAAATGTGTAACAAGTTTTTTCGGGAACTTCCCTCGGACAGCTGGCTTAACATAAAATTTATGCTTGAGATGCGTCTCCCCACCCCCAGTCCACTTTTAGTTACTAAATTTTACATCAAAACAATGAAACAATAAGCACTGCTCATAAAAAATGCTTTTTGCTTTGGCCTAGTTAACAAGGGAAAAAAATGTGACTGGTCCTATTTAGTCCACAACCAGACGCTGCTGTAAGACCTTTGGTCTCCTTCTTTGTCTTGATCATTATCCCAGCCTGAAACATAAATGGAGTCCCATTGAAGATCAGCTCCCTTTCATGTTAACGAACGACTGGCAGATATAAGACTTTCCATTCGACGGGGCCCAGATTAGCTTCAGTGGGAGACTCAGAAAGTGTCCAATGGTCAACCCTCACGCTGGGCTTCAGGCTGGTGTGTCGTCGTACAGTTTTCCGCTTTTTCTGCCATGCAGGGGGGTCTTTGTCAGGGACTTTCATTTTCGTGAATCGTCCGCATTATGTGTGCTTAATGCGAATGCACACACTTGCCAAGAGGAAATCCAAGATGCTGCCGTGTGTGTGTGTGTGCGTGTGTACATCATCAAGGTTACCCACACAAGCTACGTGTGCTGAGGAGACAGCGAAAGGAGACTCTCCAGACTCCAGGAGGGTGCAGTGACCAGAGAATGAGCTCCAAGTGGCTTGGCTTTAGTGTCCATGACGAATGTAAGCCTTTAAAAATACAACGTACATTCTTTTCTGTGTTTGTTTTTACCGTGAGACACACAAAGTGGGGTTTTGCCATTAAAAAGGCTGAGAGAAACAAGATAAAAACATGAAAATGTAAATAAGACTGACAGCAGAAAGGAGAAGCAGCACATGCATGAGGAGCGTGACCCCACATCCCACTGGCGCTTCTCTGGAGGTCCAAAGAGAGCCAGCTATCCAGCCATACCGGTTCCCTCAGCCTGAAAACGCAAACACTTGCAGAGGACCCCAAATCCGTTTGATCCAAACGAGCTCGTAATCTCTGTGTAAATGAATCGTGTTGTTTTACTGAACAGCTTGTGCCCCTGCAGATATGTAATCCTGCACATTAAAATTACAGCAAAGCCGTCGCACAGAGCATGCAGCTAGCGTGATGCGAGCGGTAAAAGTCCTGCACGCTTGGAAATGCTCTTTTTGATGAATTCCCAGGCCACATGTGCCTTTTCAGACCATGGCTGCGTCATTTTCTTCAGCAAAATTTATTGTTGATTTGGAATTGGAAAAAAAAAAAAAACATACTGGACATACACTGCAACTTTGCATCAGTTAAACTGATATTCTAGAGAACTGTAGTTGAAGAAAGCAATTTATTCCACATGGTTTTCATTTCAATAAAATATTTTGGTTTCTGCTATTGATTTGGTTATTCAAAATTAGAGTTTTCGGCTGGAAGGAACATATGTTCACAGACTGTTGGGATGTATTTGAGTAGATGTTTTATTCAATAAATATATACATAAAACATGGTAATAAACTTCACCAACAAAAGGAAGTAAATAATTTTATATGGCTTTGACTGGGTTAAAATCTATTTTAGCCATTTTTGAATTTAAAGTTCACATACTGCGTTGACCTTTTTTTTTTAATCTTTTCTCGTTGTCATTCTGGCCAAGTCACATGATTTACCGCCCTCTGATGATATGCCGGAAACCGTATGAGCGGGAGGAAAAAGAAACACTTCATTTCAGCAACTAAAAGTAGCTGCTCCGCTTTGATGCCGGATGACGCTTGATGGACAGCTCCAAATTAAATAATAGCCATCCGTCTTTTCATGCGGTCACATATGTAGACCGGGACAAATCTGTTTCTGATGTACGCTCACCCTGTCAAAACACATGGGCCAAGATTCGAGTCTGTGGAGTATCAGTTACAAGCCTCTTCACAAACAGCCAACCCATTTCTGGGATGAAGCTGCTTTCCTCTGAAACCTTTTAATGACTTCGAAACAAAGACTGTATGATATTAGTTTGGGTACGCCAGAAAGCCTTTTTTGTCTTTTTTTAATGGTGATATGGGGAGGGGGTTGTCATGACTTTGGTTATCAAAAGAGATGCTTCTAGAAAGGTTTTTTTTTTTATCTTATTTATTAGACGACGACATACAAATGAGGATCAGAGTGTGGCATCAAACAATGTCCCTGGAGCCTTTGGGATTAAGAGTCTTGCTCAACGCCCAACGGTGACATCACTCTGCCAGTCATGAGATTCGAATCAGCAACCTTCCGATCACGGAAAGAGTCGTAACCCGCGCAGGGCCACACACTGAGCCTATTTCCCATCTGCTCGGCAGTTCCAGAAAGATCCGCCCGCAGCGCGGACGGGCTGAAGGCTCACAGTGGCCCTTTGACTGTTACGAGGCATAACAAGGCGCTGACATGCAAGCCCACAAATAGCACCGTGCACCATTAAACGAGCGTAGAGGCAGTATGCCACGCTATTAAAATCAACGGCCTAAATGACGACTTTGGTGTGATGATGACTTTGCTTCATTAGCAATTAACACCAGTGTGGCATCAGAGCTAAGAGCACAACCATCTGTGTGTTTTTTTTTTTTTTTTTTTGAAGGACTGGTACCATCAGCGTTCCAGTAACCAGGGGCCGAACTAAAGAGGCATATGGTGTACAGCACAGTACAGCCTACAGAGGGCGCCAGTCCATTATAGGTTTTTATCATATTACTTTCTCTGCAACATTATTTTCATGCAACATAAAAAATCCGACACATTTCTGTTATTTCTACAGGCTAAGACTGAAGATACATTGGAACTGTTTTTGTAAACGAGTGCTTCAAGGTAACAACTGCTGCTGAATTATTAAACCACAGTTTTCCTTACAGCGAGTAAATAATGTTTCGGACACAATGTTTTGGACAAATTTGACCAAAATAAATTAAATTTAGTAATACAAAGCAGCTCATCACAAGCCACATGGACTAAACAGTAGTTCAGTTATGTATGTGCATTTAATACATTAAGCAAGGAGGTCAAATAAGCTCTATGTGGTACTAAAATTACAGCTTCAACGTATCTCATTTTATGCACAGCAATTATCTACTTGGGTACTTAAATACAGCTGGCATAAATATGCATTGAAGTTCAATCAGTTGATTGCTTTGATGTGTAAGACCTTTCAGATATTTCAGTATCAGGATAACACATAAATTTTCCTTCAATGACACTGTTTTAAAGCAATTTTGAGTCAGTGATTCTTTGGTGCTGCTGCTGAGAGGTTTTGTTTCCTGTTATACTTTGAGGAAAACAAAAAAATATTGTTAGTATGCCGCAATGGTTAAAACGCCAAAGTAAATTTCGCCCTATTTGGAAGCTGCAAAATATATTACTAAAAACATATTGTGAAACATCTGAGGATAGAAAAAATATGGAATATATATTAACTACAGCAAGTATTGTATTAATGAATTTTCTTTCAGCAAAAGCTAAACATGCAAAGCAGCAGTTTGACAGTCCATAGAGGCATATAATATGTAAAAGATGATCTTCTGTACTTCTCACCCCAGTAAGTATGTTAGCTAAAGTTCAGATTCTTGATTTCATGTATGAACACAACACCTATCACTGCACTAGAATCAGAAAACACAAAATACAGCAGCAATATTCAATAATTAATTACATGCAAACATTGCAAACATTTAGCAAAAAACATTCATCTTTGATAAGGATGGGAAATATTTTATATATGGAATGGAAGGAGGGATAAAAGTGGATGAATGTGGATTCATAGCCCGAGTTAGCAGGTAGTAAGCATGATTCCAGGAAAATCTAAGTTGTTTTCATACAAGCTAGATAAAAGCAACTAATTGCAATGTTCAAATTAAAACAAACTATTTTTCAGTACAGATCCAAAATGTTTCATTGCGGATTAGTAACTTGGCAGTTAGAGCGATTATGTTTTCTGATTCTATGTTGTTTTGTACACAAGTATACAAAGTGTGATTTGCGATATATTTGGCTTTTTTAAAGACATGAACAGGGTAATATTTTATATTTAAATTGTTTATATTGCAATTTAATGCATATATACTGCTGTTGCTCACAGAATCGTGTTTTGGTTTGGGATCTAGACAAAATGACATAAGGTTTGTGTTACATTACTACGCTTATCTGATCAGAGGCAGGAGAGAACTTAGGTGATAGGTAAATAGTCAAGGGCATAGCTAGAATTTTTGGGCACCCTGACAAAATATCATCTTGGGCCCCCACCCAATTTTACATATTCAAGGACCCGTTTGAGGTGCGCAAATCTGCCAGGCTACCCATGCCCCTACTACGCCCCTGCCAATAGTTTTTTCTAACTGCTCTTATGAGTAAATTAAAAGATCTTTGAGTTATTTATAGTAGTTCATATCTGAATCATGAAGATTCATGAAGACTAAGTGCATTGTTGATGCATATTTTTACCACTGACTTTGCAGAATTGAGCAATAAATAGATGTTTTTACTTAAGTTTATTTTATGGCGCTACATGAAACGCAATGTACCCAGTCTCATGGTGACGATATTTTGTAAGTCATCTTCCTCTGAACGTGTACGCATCTCGAAAGTGCCCTTTGAAGATAATGTGTTTTTCGACAGATTATAACTATCACAGAAGAGGAAAAGTAGATGGTTAATAGGCTTCTGCTACCCAAACGTAGACAGAGAGGGTCGCCCTTGTTGTGCTGCAAGTTACCGTTTCCCCACTTTTCCCACTGAATATTTCAATGCAACATAATATCGATCTGTGAGAACTGGAAAAGCAGAGCTCCTTACATAACATGATACACACTGTCGATTCAGGTAAAACCAGCCAACAACTAGTGCATGTGTCAAGCTTGATTGCAGAATACATGCTTCTTTATGCCAAACACTATCCGCTAATGGCCCGAAGGCTCTGGGCTTCAGCTTACCTCCCGGGCATCTCTTTTGCATCGGACATTTCCTATTTTCACTCTGAGCTGGACAGAGGGGTGACTTTTGCCTGCTCCTGCTCTGCCTCCCCCACCTGTAGCCACAGCTCAAACCTTTTCGTCTGCAGGCAGTCCATTCGCTCCAAGGCTGCAACTGACAGTCCTCTAAAAGAGAATTGTTATTGTTAACACAACCCAATCGATGCCTAATGTATTTAATATATGTCTGATTTCATTTTCATAGGTGTTCTGCACTTCAGACTAGAGTTTCTCTGGATGTTTTCGTATTCACATGATGGCCAGCAGGTGGAGTACTGATTAAGGATATTGATTCATAATATGTAGGTCATAGGCTGAAGCCGAGGACAGGCCCCAGTGAAGCATTTTTTGAGTTGAGATACAAACATAAAACAGACATTTTAATCCTTCACTAAGTTGTAGATAACAGAAACCAATGGGTAACATTATTTTATGGCTGATTGAAGAGTAAATTGTAGTCCAAACACATATATTTTGCAAACAATGATCAACTTATAAATGGATATAACTTGCTGTTAAGGAGATCATAGTCTACTTCTCATTGGTTACTTTACTGGATGCAAATTGAGTTAAATGAGGCCATGACTAACAGCACACACTAATCTCACTCAATTTTGAATCTCATTTCTCTTGTCACAAATATTTTGAAAAACATATGCAAATATAGCAACAGTATATAGTGTTTAGCCACTACAATGTTTACAGATTGTCAATCATATGTAACTAGTAGATTGTTTCCTAAAAAGATGGTGATTTATATCGTATAAATGTTCAAATGTGTTTGTTACAGCACATTTCACAAGTAGATTGTCACATGCCTCTGAACAAAGGAATCATTTGGCTGAGCAATTAAGTTACACAATTATAGAAAAATGTGTTTCAAAGAATCCACTTGACCTCTTTCAATAGAAATCTCTGACAATTTCAAAACCGTGCAGAACGACATGTTCTGGTAGAATATTTTTGCCCCCCCCCCGGGTTGACTGAAAAGTGATTTGACCTTTAATGATAAACAGACAAATAGCTAAAAAAATATAACTGAAAGGACCTGAGAGGTCTGACATTTGCAAACAATACGCGAATTAATGGAAACGGAAAGAATGAGTTTAAGCAATTAAGTGCTCAGTAGGAAATTAACTAAAATTGGAAGCGGCACTAAGTACTGCAACTTAGCGTGTCAGTTCTTGGGAGAAAACTCGAGCTTTGCCTCATTGGCTCACCTCTCCCTTCCTGCTAGTATTTGGTCATCTTTCTTTTTTTTGGCCGGGGTCTTATCTCGGTGAGGAGTACTCAGACAGCTGCAATGCATTGAAGCCTCAGCTGCCTTGTATTCCGCGTCCAGCTGCAGCTCATTTAGCGCCGGGCACGCTCTTGCCCCAGGACGATGGCTTTCTGCCTTCCACTTTGATTGTTCGCCGGCGCCCTTTGTTTAGTGCCCTGACTCCTGCTAAATCTGCCGCATTGTGCATCGCTAACAGGGTGAGGCATGGACGTGCATACCTGACCGCTTTTATCAGCCACACCTTTGTGACTGTCAGGTGACTGCAATCAGAATGATTTGCATGCATTTAAAACCCAGATATTCTGAAATGAACTGAAACAGCAATGCCATACATACTTTTGTTTGTTTGTTTGTTTGTTTGGGTGGGGGAGGGGGTAGATACAAAATGGTTAAAGAGACTGACTTGCACCCTAAAATGTTGATGGATTAAATTTCAGGAAGGTCATCCTGTTGTATCTTTAAAGGGACTTAATTCCAAACTCCTCCAGGAAATTATAACTGTATAAATTTGTAAAAGCGATTATTTACAATCTCATCACATCAGTTGTTATAGATTCAGTTGTAATCATAGGTTTACACTGTCTCCATAGTCATTGTGAAGTGTCAGAAGAATTACGAGAAGTCACAATAATTCCCTTACTTGAATTGTAATTAAGGGGAATATATTTCCATGGATTTCATTCACTTCTCCTTCATGCATGTCATACTCGGGCTGACTGAAGGGAATTTACAGTTATGTACTATCAACACAAAATCTCCAAATAAAAATTGTGTATTTTGTTTGATGCTTCTGTTTAAAGAAGCAACCCATTCTACTATGCTGTAGTGGTTATATACTTTTATATAATATCATTTACATTTAACATCAGAGATGGTGTCTTCTTCATGCTCGGGCTGCTTCCAGCTACTCTGTTTCTTCCCACAGCCCAAAGACTTGCGGTTTAGGTGGACTGGTGTCTCTAAATTACAGTCTGTGCTGCCTTGGTGGACTGTGTGCCCCGTTCTCTGCTTCCTGGGAGAGATTCTAGTCTTACCATGCGTTGCATAAGTATTGGAACACGGCGGAATGGGCACCCTAAAGTGCACATTAGCCATACTAATGGCAGCATAAATTTATTTTCCTCTGCGCATCATTTTATCATAAAGATCGCTTAAAATAAATACTTACATTTACAGTAAACTGGAATCTACAGCACTGTGCAAAAGTCTTAGGCAGCCAAAGAAAATACTGTTTAAATGATCTTAATGTTGGTGTAAAACTATGTCTGCATTAGCCCTGCTAAAACCTCCGCTAAAATCACCCCAGTATTTTCAGCAGCCATCCAATAAACCCATGCGTTTTCAGCACACCTTCTATAGCTAATCAATATCTCAATTACTTATTTTAATAATTTAATTAATTAATTAAGTAAGCTGGTGGTGAAATGTAATAAATACACAGAATGGCTGAGGCGCCCCTGAGGAGAGATTTGGGAACTTGTCTAGCCGGCTGACAAGATATCAGTAACTTTTTGGAGAACAGAAGCAATTCTTAATAGTTGTTATTGTGTTACTCTTAATTTGCATTACCATCAGTTTAGCATTAGCTAAACTGTTTTTTTGTTTTGTTTTGTTTTGATCAAAAAGTGCATGTGCTACCCAGATAAATAGCTTTAAGCATTTCTTTTGACTGCCTTAGACTTTTGCACAGTATTGTATGTGGGCTCAAAATATAAAGCACGCTGGAAATTAATATTGACGCAGCAACAAATAGCCCATACAATCCCAAGAAGGCTGAGTGAAAAGAATTCCAATTCTGGGTCTCCTCACCCACCAAGGCATACAGAACAGACGTTCCACCTAAACAGCAGGGAGAGACCTTGAAGGAAACCCACAGGAAGTCTTCACAAACACAGATGGGCTCCTTCCCAACCCTGGGGATACACCAAACACTAACCACTGAAAGAATAAAGATTAAATTACAACGGAGTGAAGTCCAGACTCTTCTTTATCAACATAAATGATGTGTGCAAGGATGTTTGAAATGTTACTTACTGATGATACATGTGTTACTAAGTGGTATCATGTACGGTTAATATCAAGCAGATACTGTAAAAGTTCAGGGGATTCAGATAGAATCCATGTGGGACAACAGATTTAATGAAGACTACCATAAGTTTTCTGACAGGTATCTGAGTTGAAAGCGTACCAAGTGTATTGAGTTGTAAGATCTATACTTATCTATACCGACATATAAATATGCTGGCTGCCCTATAAAGCACTGAAATGGATAGACAACATGCATACAAAACCCTAATGGCCCTTGAAGCAGTTAGAGAAATCAATACAGGCATGGTAACAGTACAGTGTCCAGCAGGTTTTCATAAATGTTCTTGGATCACAGAAGATTAACTTCCTGAAAGTAAATTTTGGTTGAAAGACTTACCTAAGCAGTCTGTTAAATCTGGATATGTGTCTTCTGGACAGTTGTGCAAGCACTTTCCTTTAAACAGCTGGAACCCTGGTTTGCATTTTGTGCAGAAGTCTCTGCTGAAGCACGAATCGCAACTGGGGGCTTTGCATTCTGGGAAACCGAGAAGAATTTATTAATACTGAGCTGCATACAAGCTCCATATACGGTATTTACCAGAAGAACATTAAGAAGCATTTCATCTCATGCCAACACAAAGTCCTAAGAATACTTTTCATAAGTCTTTGTGCATATAGAACTTGTTTATGGACATGTATGGCTGGTCACATCACATGCTACAATGTTTTAGACCTAAGTACAATCGTGAATGACTTACAGTGATTTGTAGCCACATTTGTATTGTCATATGTTGAAAACTTTTATGGGAAGTCTGGCTGACCTTCGTAATACTAGCCAAGGATACCCTATATTGCCAGGACTCCAGAAGACCATTTTCTTACAAGTCTTTCTCCAGTAAATAATGGGTTGATTTATGTTTGAAAGTAACACACACTGCGTATTTATCGTGATAATAAATTCAGTAATTGTGCAATGGTTTCTGAAGTGTTTCACAGTAATGGGTACCTGATTTTATGCTTTTGATGGTTAAAGGCACCATTAATGCAGAAAGCATTTGTTATACACACACACACACACACACACACGCACATACACATTTATTCATTTAGCGGATGCTTCTGTCCAAAGCAATGTAGAAGGGAGGAAAGTCTGGAGTCTGAGATCTGAGAGCACGGTCAGCAAACACTCCTGGGGCTGTGGGGAGTTGACCACCCAGTGACCACCCAATATACCCATGTATTGTACTACCAACCCTGGTATGGCTAATCAATACTTCATTGACTTTTTAAACAAATTAAATCAAGTAATTAAAGGCTAGTGAAATAAAAAAAAAAAAACCTATAGCAGCTGAGGAGAGCTTTGGGGAACTGAAGTGGTGTTCATCTAGCCATCCAACTACATATCAGAAACTTCTTAGAGAACAGAAGAAACTCTTAGTTTTTATTGTGCTTCACTTAACTTGCATATGTTCCAGTGTTAAACTGTGTTTTTTGTTCTGAGCACATACACACTTACTACCCCAAAAAATAGCTTTAAACATTTCCCTTGACTGCCTAAGACTTTTGCACCGTGCTGTATATAATGTTTCCTGGATGCTGAAAGAGACAAGCTTAACCCGCGCAGAGACTCACTCATGCAGCGGTTCACGCCCCGGCCGCGCACGCCATAGTGTCCCGCTGGACAGGAGTGCAGGCAGGAGCCGTGGTGCCACACACCCTCTCGCCGGAGGAACAGGAACAGCTTCTCTGGGCAGCGCAGGCAGCCGTTATCATGCGAGCACTCCTGACAGTTCCTGCAAACCTCAGAAGCGTCCTTGATGCCTGCGCAGACAAAGACGCAACAGCACATTAGCCTCACCTACATTAAAAACGTCTTCATAGTGACTGTAACTACTAATCTGTCATTTTCATCTGCTCATTCTGCGTAGAAGGGATTTTCATGCAGACAGGTGGTGTCTCTGCCATCAAGGGAGCTGTAATCTGTTTTTTAGACTCTACAGTTTGGACTTTTTTGTTTGTTACTTTGTTAGTTATGTTTTTAATTTTCATTTTGTTTTCTTCTGTTTCATCTCAGAATTGTGCAAAATGAGACGCAGTTCCCAACCGCTGCACGCCCATATCAGGGCAAATGCACAAGAGGTACAGCGGTCTTGCCACAAGAATGCTGCTCCCTCCAGCCACTAAGTGCAAAGATGAGAAAGAACTGACCTCTTTGCAGATGATTAAGTGAAACCATAACCTTTCTGAATGCTGGGGGGGGGGGGGCTTTGGCAAACAGGTAATGTGAGTGTATCAAACCAACACAAGTCTCAGGCCTAAGATCAGGCTGCAGCAGACACCACTGTGAAGGATAATCACAGACGCTGATTTCTCAGAATCAGAATCAGAATCAGCTTTATTTGCCAAGTGTGCTGGGACACACAAGGAATTTGGTTCCGGCTGCTTGAGACTCCCTAGTACACAGGCAATAAATGACACTGTACAAACAATAAATTACACTGTACAATAACTAACATTTGAATTATTCACACATGGGTAACGCGGTACAAGTATAACGTGCGAGGTGGGGAAACTCCTCAGACAGCTGAGAAAATGTGTCGCTCACAGAAACTCAGCATGACAATTTGTAGAACAAACTGTATTGAACCGGACAAATCATCTCATCCAGCGTGTTGCTCTGCCTTGATCGATATGCTGCCCGGGACGGACTTCAGGCCCCCCAAGAGCCTGAAGTGGATAAGTGGTTAGAAGATCAAGACTTTTTTTTATGAAGTCTGCAACTGCTTATGCTGTAAGCCCAGAGTTCATCGCAAAATACATATAAGGTGGTATTTGTTTTCGGTCCGCATGCAATGGAAGTTCAGTAAGTTTATTGAACTACTACTTGTAAATCTATGACAATACGAGAATGAGGAACTCATTGCTGGGTACTTTAGCTTGCCTATGGCTTCCCCTGGCAGCTAGTTTTATGTGTTCATGACGACACTATATGAATTGGGCTGATAAGCATCAACTTTCAACCTTTCAACACACAAAAAAGTCCGAAAATAACTTATATGTTGACTCAAGCACCCATCAATAGTCATTCTCTTTCAGGGCAGTGATCCCCTTCAAGTTATGTTGGCATAAAAATATGCTGCATCACCTCCCATGCACTCAGCAGAGGCTAAACACCGGTGGGTTCCTCGCAAATCAAATGCAGTCAGAGCTTCTTCTGCCTTGATTTAACACAGCAGTATAAGAATTAAAAAGACAAAAACAAGTGTTGAGCAACAGAAATGGACTAACGTGACTGCTGACATCTTTACTGTCGATGATGTGCAAGCCTACATGTTTATTTGTAAAAAATAATAAATGCTAGATATTGTGAAATTTTGGAAATGGACAAGAAAGATCACACAAACTACAGCAAAAAAAAAAACTACTTGGACATCTTTTGTGTTTTTATTAAATGTACCTAAATATAATACTATTCTAACAGCTATTGTGGTACATTTATACATATCTACCTTCATTCTGAACCTTTCTGAGTTACAGTAGTTTGCTTAACAGGACTAGATGTTTCAATCCCTGACAACTGAGCGCAGCGCTTGCTTTGAGTGGGGTTGGAGATGTCTTCTTTCATGGGGTGACTTTGATGATGACCATTTAGTGATGTTTCCACCAGTACGACACATCATCGCTATATATGAATAATATGATTAACTGCTACACCATAGCGTTATACTCAAGCATTCACGAGTGAAACAAGGGCTGCTACAACCCGTGGTTTAAGGGCAAACATAAAAAAAAAAAACATTGTCCATTTGTCTACCTAAATGCATATAGTCAACATGTTTCCAAAACACCAAACCCCATCTTAGGACAATTAAAATGAATGTAACCCTCTGGTATTTGCTAGGAGATGCTAGCAAGGTTCAGCAAATGACCAAGAAGCATATGAGAAAAATAATGTCAGTTCATCAAACCATCTGCCATACAGGGGGAGGCTTTGTTAGTGTTATAACGTACCAGTCATGCCCTTCTAGTTAGCGATTAATCAACATTAACAAGTCAACTACAACATAATCATAACTCTGGTACATGACCGTGAAATGAATTGGACAAATTTATCTTTCACTATACAATTGTACTTTATGCTAACGTAGCATAACATAACGTAACAAGTTTGCGGCAAAAAAAGAGAGTACTTATTGCTATACTTAAAATGTACAAAAGGTCCAAAATCTCTAAAATGCACAAATGTTTACCAAAATTTCAATAAAAATGCATGTCATAGACAAGGTAAAATAGGTATTATCCTGATTTCATTGTAATCTCATGATGGAAACATTTCACATTGCATACGACACAATGTAGATTGGGTGTGTTTACGGTGCCACATGTGGCGTCCAGGGGTCCTGACCTAATCAGCAACACGCAGGTTTTTCTCAGTGATAAACATTTGTTTGATGCCCACAGCTTTTACTTAATTGTCATAAGTGACAAGTCTTTTTGAAATTTATTTCCTGGTTCACCTAAATTGTGATCTAGACCATAAATAATACATGTTTTGCGCAGAGCAAAACAGTGTTTTGTGGAGGTTTTTGTTGAAGAGACCCAGTGTAAAGACCTTTCCTCCACTGGTTTAGACTTCCATGCTTAGAATATTTGCTTAGTATAGCTGACAAACTAAATCACTTGGCAAATATGATGTTAAAAAATACAACTGGCAATATATTGGTATTTCTCCAAATGTTTTAAATAAAACAAGACTTATTATTCATGTCTTTAGCTATTTTTTATGCCAAAAATTGCTATAGATTGGAATACTAACAAAGACTAGATATCAACTAAAGTAATGCCAATCCATGAAGAAGAACAATAAAACTGGTTCTGCAAGCAATAGATCACCAGGATTTATTTTCATATCAGGTGGAGTTATGTATAGGCTGCAATTCAGTCAGAGATAGTGCCCCTTTTAAACAGATAGTCAGTATGGATTTAAAAGAGTCAGATCTTGCCGCATTAACCACAGGATATTTATCAGAATCCAACAAAATGTATTTAAATAATTTAATTTTAAGACTATATAACTAAAGAAATGTGAATATAAAATTGGCCAACAATCAGGATAGAAAATGTCCTTTTAAGTGAGACAACACTCAGTTAAACCAATCCAATCAATGGGGTACATCAAGAGTCCTATTCGAGTTCATCATATTTCCAAATATACAATCTCTAAAATGAAATGATTCCTGTGTTTTTGATACAGTATCATCATTTATAAATAAATCATTGGATAAACTGCTTTGGAATAATAAAATACATAATAAAAGTTAATAGTAACGGAATGATTATATTCTCTATTCTTTTATTGGGATTAACATTTCAGCCATGCTTATTCACTACGCATTACTTCAGTGAATTTGAATTTCATAGTAATACTAAAACATGAAGTATTTTGTTATAGAAATAGCATTTTGTATTTTATAGGAAGTCTGCTTCTGAATATAATCGTTCCACCATATGATGATAAATCAAGAAGGCCTACCAAGTAAATTGCAAAAGTATCAACTAACAGCCAGTTTAATTTTTAGTTATGGACCTAATCAAACATGCACAAAGTAACATTTATAGTATAGTATATAATAATATTAATATCACTGAATAGCACATTATTGTTGTTATTGTTGTTGTAATAGTTGTTGTTATTATTATTGCTGTTGTTGTAGTCAATAATAATGTTGTTCTTCTTATTACGTTCTGTTGTTGATTAAAATAATAAAATTGGATATTATCTGAATCTACCTATTACCTTGATCTACCTAATATAAATTATAAAACGAACATAAAGTACGTAAGGGGAAAGATATTCAAATTAAAAACTACATGATGTCAAGTACACGTCTCTGATGCAGTTGAAAATCTGCAATCGAACGAGTACATTAAAGTCGAATAAACTTAATCGCGCACATGACATAACTACTTAATTACGCCTTTGACTTAATGCATGCGTATATTTGTATTCTTACCACTGTCTTTTCTCGCCGTCGGAGTTAACATCATCATTGCATTGCTGATCAGAGTTAATATGACAAGGAGTCGCAAATGCATCTGGGCAGACGACAACCGCTCAAAGCAGGTTCCGTGACATCTGAGAAGATTTCAGGACAAGTCTGTTCCTCCTAAATCTGTATGAGATGTATTACTCTCCCTTGTCTTGTCTTGTCCTTTTAGGAAAGTCCTGGTTAAATAGCCGTGGAAAAAAGTCACAAAAAAGTTTCAACTTACATCACGCACAGTATTTAACCCTTTCAGATCTTGAGTCGTCAAGATCGCGGTAAAGTCTGGTTAGGGTCGGATTACAAGAATGCTGTAATTACAATCGGGTTAGTCAGCTAGGTACCCCAACGTTTCATTGGGCATCTGCAAATTAACACGTGTCTTGTAAACAACACATGTTGTTTACACCACTCATGTGTTTCCGTGTCTTCGCACTTAATGAACGTAATTTTTTTTTATTATTATTCTAACGCTTGTTGTTTTTAATTGTAACATTTTAGTATTTTCGTTCCTCGTTATGTTCTTCATGACATGATTTGTTTAATTATTGTATATTTATATACATATAAAATGTGATATAAATAAATCGTCAGTCTTGAAATCACCAACATATTTATTTCAGTGTCTTGAAATAAATCAATCCTGCTGTAAATTATAGCTTAAAGTGGCAATAATATTTTCCATCAGTTTTTTTTTATACAGTGAAGACTACAGGTTTTGATTTAACATATTCTCTTGATTCCTGTCTTGAATTTACTTTGGTAAATAAGCATTAAAGATGTATGACAATATTCCTAGTTTCCCCATATTAGTTTTTTTTTAAGCAGGTGTGCCGCTAGAGATTTTGGACCCAATGAATCACAATGGGCCCCCAACCCAGACCAATGAAATTATGTTCCAGTTTTTTTAGTGCCACTGAGTGGAATCATTTTAACATTCAACAGTTTCTGTTGGTTCTTGGTTCGATTCAGACGGATGTCTGAACCTTCTTCGAATGGTTTTATTAATTGAATATGTTGGAAAACAATTTACAAACTATGGTTTGTGTATTTAATTTTTGTAAGTGATTAATTGTCATTGCTGACACACCACAGAGCACAACAACAAAATGTGTCCTCTGCATTTAACCCATATGTGACAGGGTGACATAGCAGGGGGCAGCTAACTCAGTACCCTACCTCAGCAATTCCCTAGTTCTTTCAAACAATAACTGTCCCGACTGTAGCCAGGACTGAACTGAGATTAAAATTCAAACAAGTAGTTGCTGCAGTTAAAGTAGTAGTAGTAGTAGTAGTATCACTACTAGTAGTAGTAGTAGTAGCAGCAGCAGTAGTAGTAGCAGCAGCAACAGCAGTAGTAGTACCAGTAGTAGTAGTAGTAGTAGTAGTAGTAGTAGCAGCAACAGCAGTAGTAGTAGTAGTAGTGGCAGCAACAGCAGTAGTAGTAGTAGTAGCAGCAGCAACAGTAATAGTAGCAGTAGGAGTAGTAACGTTGTTGTTCAAGAGACATTTATTCTGCTCCAATTACCCAAGTTATGGCTGCAGGGAATGTTTTAATTTAAAAGGCTATTATTAATTATGTGACATGTTCAAAAGGTCTCATAAAATACCAGCATTGCGACAAAAAAAACTCAGCAGCAGACCTGAGTGATGTTAATCTCTTGGCATGGAGCATATCGACACACCAAATGTTTTCTTGCTATATCTTATGTCACGGGTCTCGCAATGGAAAATCTGTGATATTTCTGGAGGAAAGCATTTTTACCAGCATGTCATTTTCTTAACGTGTGGGTGGGAAGGCGGAAAGGTTAGGATGTTTTGGACGATTAAAACTCTGGATCGGAAAAAATTAATCTGGCAAAAAATCAGACTGTTTCTGATCTGACAGTCATGCATTACACAAGGAAGTTCTGCTCCAACAGGATTCTAAGGGCCTTGCAATGGAAAGTCGGAAGCGGTGTTCTGTTGTTAAATTATTACCAGACCCTAATACATTTAGCAAAGTTCAGGGAAGGATCAAAACAAAACACAGGCCATTTGGGGATGAGACATCTTCCAATAATATGTCCTCTGTAGTTTGACAACCTTTGTAAGTTTTGTGACCTGTCTATGATGCCCATGTGGACTGATTTTACTCACCATCTTAAAAATTTTCACCTTTTAGCAAAACAACTATTTCAGCATTTGTTCGAGTTTTTATAGTCTACAAGAAGCCATTATATTCCTGAAAAAATATGCCTGAATAGAGATTACATAAAAAAATGTGGGTCTTCCCTGAAATATTGCCATAATTTGCAGTAAGTGTGCTGACACCCAGCAGCACACTGTTAATTTCAGTCACTGAGCTAATTTCAGTCACCGAGCTAATTTCAGTAACAGAGCTAATTTCAGTCAATGAATGATCAGCCTTCAAAACGAGAAACATTCTAATTAATGCCCTACTGTAACTTTTAAATTCAGTTGAATCTAGGCAACGTTCTTCTGCACACAGGAATGTCCAAGATGGGGGGAGGCGGGGGAGGTGGCATTCACAGGGAAGTGGCGTGAAATCCTTAAAAGGCTTGAAGATTTACACAAAGGTAGCATTTCAATCAGGAACACATGCTGTGCCCAGCCTGCTACTTTGCAGCACATGTGCTAGGCCTTAGGCTCCGGGTTTCTGTTTCTGCACTGCCGCAGGATGAACAACGAACCGTCCGAAATGTCTCCTTCTGTCAAGTTTCAGTCACAGATAGCTGGCATTTCATTCAAATGTGCCAAGAAATGTATTTCTCCAAACTAGACTCTAGCACACACCGAAGCACTTGACAGTTGTTTTGGAGCTGACCTGATTATAACTGGGGCTGAAAGAAATAATTATTTTCACAGCATCAAGGGATCTGGGTCTGGGAACTTGAAAAGGCTGCACAGGTGAGATCTTTACTCGACTTCCTCCAGCTGGTCACATCGTACTTTACAGAATGGAAGACATGCCCTTCAGGGAAACGGATACATTTCATAACCCATGGTAGCAGCTCACAATACTTGACATATAAGATGTAGGCCACGGTCATTGTTCACCACAAGCTGAAAGTCCTCTCCACACTGAAATACTGAGTTCTCCTGAGAATCACGACATCTGATCAAAGCCGCATTTCGGAATACCACAGCTCAACAGCTGTAAATCAGACAAGTTATTAAGCAGTTTTAGGTAAAAACAAAACTAAAGTAACAGTCACACATCCTTACTGAAGGTGGGCTGCCTAAATCAATATTTTAGAAAGCAAAACTACTGTGTGTGACATTTGACTAAGTTTTATTGTAATTATTATTTTAATTTGTAAATGTGCTTTTAATTAAACTGGCAATACAATTTCTAGCTTTTTAGTCTCTCCCTGCATGTGCTCACATGTGATCCATTACCACGTCTACTAAGCAAGACATCTTTAAAGTGCATAACGAAGGTGAATCATTTGTTAAGTTAAAACTGCTGAAAGAAACTTAGCTGCAGGCCCCTTATCATAGTTGGTCATTTCCAAACGCAGACACACGCCCCGTGAGGTTTGATCTATTTTTGTATCCAGCCTCCGGCTTTTGTCCAATTAGCGTGGAGGTTGAATTGGACCCCCAGCAGTACCGGTCGAAGCTCATGTGGCACCCGCACCCCCCCCCCCCCCCCTTCTAAGACAAAGTGAAATTGGCCCTCAGGAGACGGCCCCCATGCAGTCCTTAGCCAGTATTCCAGCGAGCCAGGAAGCTGTGGGGGTTTGTGGAGGGGTTGGTGAATCTCGAAAAAAACAAACTATATAGTTTGAATTTCTTTACAACACTTCATATTGACATGTTGTGGTTGGTCTGGGGGTGTTGAGTGGCACAGTGGGCTAAGTCTCTGGGCCTGTGATCAGGAGGTCACCAGTTTTATCCCAGACCTCAGCTGGACAGTATCATGTCTGTGAGCCCTTCAGTAAGGCCCTTAACCCCCCCAGCTCCAATGGTGCTACATGTTGGCTGACCTGTGCTTTGACACCCCATCCTCCCCCGCCCAAGCTATGGAGAGCAAGATGCGCTTGGCACAAAGAACCTTTCCAATGTACTTGTGCAAATGGCAAATAAAGCATGTTTGTTTTAACTGGTAATCGATCTGCCATACTGGGAACCCCTAGCCTAATGGATTGACCAGCACCAACCCCCAGACTAGGGGCTTTGGATGTGTCCTTCCCCCAGTAATGGCAGACACCCTGCAATAAATAAATAGATAGATATTCCTTATCTTTTATTATGAATCCATGTGTTACTGAGGCCAATTTGCTGTATAAGCAGAGTGCGTGGACAAAACCAAATGAAGACTGTACTTCATGTGGATCAGTTATTTTTTTTAGTAGTGAAACTACACTCTTAACAGTGTTAGTCTTATTTTAAATGATGAAATCTTTATTATTCTAAAATTATTTAAAAATCTTTCTTACATTGCATCCTTTCACAATGTAACTATTGTATGTGTGACCATTGCAATGTCACAATATGCAGCTCTATAAAAAATTGAGAGACCACTCCATCTGCATTGTTAAATCCTGGTTTAATCCTGGTTCTACTGGCAGAAGCTTCACTGAGTGGCAGGTTGCTTCCAAGCTTAAAACTTATACAGTATTACCGCAGTAGGCTGTTCAAGAACAATGTGAGACAGGAGACACTGGGAACGACCAAAAGCTCACCAGATAGAGAGCAGAAGCAACTTTCTAATGCCAGAAATGACTATCAACTTATCCAACAATGCCACATGAATCAGAGGATCACACCAAGTGACCTTCATAAAGAATAGGAAACATGAAGTGGCGTGAAGTGCACTGCTAGGACAGTTAATAGGCTCCGAGAAGCAGGACTGAAGCCCCAAAGCGGAAGGAAGAAGCCCTTCATCAAGGAGAAACAGAGAAGAGTCTGGTTGGAGTTTACAAAAATGTAGAGCTTAGACATAAGCATACCCATAAATTGAGAAATGAGAGAAACTAAAAATTTTACTGTGGTCTCTTAATTTTTTCCAGAGCTGTTCATCAACCACCCCCACCCCCCCAACCCTGCCACTGTGGCAAATTCAGTCCTCCCCAATGTCAAACTCTCTCAGACGCCACTGCTTCAGACACAAAACCTTCCCAGACAGTCAAGGCGAAAATCAGAATTCTCCATCCAAACACTAAGAGCAGGGGTGCCACTAGAG